AAAACCCCGCTACGATACATTTTATCGCTAAGATTTTGCCTCGCATACCGCTAAAAAACCCGGGCCAACGCTATTGTCCGGACGCGTCTATGTGGGCCCTGAGCCAGCTACTGTTCCGCCGGTGGCATTGTTTACAAGCCAGCCTCCGGGTAAATCCAAGCATACAAACGAAAATTTCGTATTATTCAGCGTTTTTTTGGTGATTTTATCTTTTAAAATAAGTGACCGGGCCCCAAGAAAGTTCTAGTGCCAACCCCGTGGTAAAAAGGTTTTAGAAATATTATCGAAATACTGTGGTACCATGGTCAACTGGATGCTGCTGCTGCTGTAGCAGTCGCTCTGCTGCTGCGTACCACCCTCAGCTGCTGCTCCTGGTTTCACCATCAGCGCTGCTATGCTGTACCACCATCAGCTGCTGCTGCTGCTGTACCCCATAGCTGTGCCCGCTTTCTGTACCACCATCAGTGCGCTGCTGCTGTACCACCCTCAGCGCTGCTGTGCGTACCCCATCAGCTTTTGCTGCTGTGCTGCGGGACCCCCATCGCTCTGCTGTCTGTACCCCATCAGCTGCTGCTGTGCTGTACCCCACAGCTGTGCTGTGTGTCACTGTTGCGCTGCTGTAGACTGTCAGCTGCTGCTGCTGTAGCCTGTAGTGTGCTGCTGCTGTAGCACTGTCAGCTCCTGCTGCTGCTGTAGCACTGTCAGTGCTGCTGTGCTGAGCACTGTCAGCTGCCCTCTGCCTGCTGTAGCACTGTCAGCTGCTGTGTGCTGCTGAGCACTGTAGGGTTGCTGCTGCTGTGCACTGTCAGTGCTCCCGCTGCTCTGTAGCATTTCACTGTGTGCTGTTAGCACGTCAGCTGCTGCTGCTGCTGTAGCATGTAGCTGCTGCTGCTGCTGTAGCCTGTAGTGCTGCTGCTGTACATGTTTTCCCTCTGCTGCTGTAGCACTGTCGCTGCTGTGCTGTAGCACTGTCAGCTGCTGCTGCTGCTGTGCACGTCAGTGCTGCTGCTGCTGTAGCACTTCAGCTGCTGCTGTTAGCATGTCAGTGCTGTGCCTGTAACACTGTCAGCTGCTGCTGCTGCTTAGGGACGTCAGTGCTGCTGCTGCGAGCAGTCAGCTCTGCTGCTGCTGTGCATGTAGCTGTGTGTGCTGTAGCACTGTCAGCTGCTTTCTGTGCTGTAGACGTCAGTGCTGGCTGCTGTAGCACTGTCAGCTGCTGTGTGCTGTAGCATGTCAGCTGTGTGCGCTTTTGACTGTCAGCTGCTGCCCCGTAGCACCACCCGCTGCTTGTGCTGTAGAAACCCCCAGCGCTGCTGTGCTGTAGCCCATCAGCTGTGCTGTGCTGTGACCATCAGTGCGCTGCTGCTGTTTTGCACCATCAGCTGCTGCTGCTGCCCGTAAGCACCGTCGCTGCTGTGCTGCTGTAGCAGTCAGTGTGCTGCTGCTGTAGCCTGTCTGCGCTGTGTACACTGTCTGCTGCTGCTGTAGCACTGTCAGTTTTGCTGCGGGAAAAAACTGTCAGCTGGCTGCTGTGCTGTGCTTGGCTGACTGCTGTGCTGTTGCTGCTGGAGCATGTCAGTGCTGCTGCTGAGCACCGTTGTTGGGGTGGCTTATGAGAATACCCAAAAAACAATTAACCCCAGAGGGTTTTGCCACCCCGGATAACCCAAAAAAGTCAGTGTCATCGAAGATGTTAACTTTTTCATTGGGGGGGCCTTTAAACTTGTTCCCAGGAGCAACCCCCACCGTCGACTAAAACCCCGGTGAACAGGGGAAAAATTCCTGGAACTAGGCTAATGGTGAAAAAAAAGCCAGAAGGTTGGTTTGAGAGATTTTAAAATCGTAGGGCATACACAGTGTGAAGGGCCTGTTCTGGAAAAAAATGCCAAACAGGCCCACAGTACTCAGGAGGAAAAAAGGCATCCCCGGAACTTTCTCATCAGTTTGCTGCACTTTAATAAAGGGAGTGATTTATTCTTCATTTAGTAGAGTAGTACATGCGCAATATACTATTGTGCATGTATCCTTCTCTTTGTGTGTAGGAAAATGTATATTTCATGTGGTAAAAAAATTTTTTCATACTTTTGGGTGTCTTACACGGATAAATTTGATTTCCATTATTTCTTATGGGGAAAATTCATTCGCATAACGATAATTTCGCATAACAATGAGCTCTCAGGAACGGATTAATATCGTTATGCGGGGGTCCACTGTACTTGTTTCCAGCCTTTCAAGCAGCCTGTTCCTATCTACCCTATGAATTCATTTGAGTATTTTGTGTGTTGATTATCATGTCTTTCAGGCCTTTTGTCCTCCTGTGTTATTAGCTTCAATTCCATTACCCTCTCCTCACAGCTCATACCCCTTGGCTCAGGATCTGTCTTGTCACAGGTGTGTTGATGTTACTGTTGAGATGGCCATCTGCACTGCAACATCCTCATTTCTCCTTCAGAGTACAGGCACTATACTTCCCACCTCCAGAATTCAAGTCCTGGAAAAACAGTACATGTGTATATTTGTATATATATCATGTATTTATTGTATTACTAAAAAACATGGATATAGATACCCTGAACATCTTCATATTCCGTGGAATAATGAAGATAGGAAAACGTTGTTTGCCAATGGTGACACTCTTCAAATTGCTAGTGTTCCCTCATTTAGAATATTGCTCAGTGCGGATGGCGCTATTCAAAGCAAGAGAAATATCAGAGCTGGAACAAATACAGAGACTGTTATAGCTTGCATTGAGTCTTGAACATGTACTCATTGGAGTGGAGGAGAGAGAGAGAGACATGGTAATATATTCCTGGAAAGTACTCAAGGACCTGGTCCCAAATCTGCACACTGCCGTAACATACTGGAGTGAGAGATATGAAAGGAAGTGTAAAATATACCCAGTGAGGAGCAGGGGTGCGGTGGGGACAATAAGGGAACATTGTATCAACATCCGGGGTCCCAGACTATTCCGCATTTTACCAGAAGATATCGGAAACATGGCTGGAACAAGTGCAGAATCCTTCAAGAGGAAACTGGACAAGTATCGTCAGGTGCCAGATCAACCAGGCTGTGATGGATATGTGGGGCATTGGGCCTCCAGCAGTAACAGCTTGCCTGGTTGATCAGGCAAGAACTGGACGAGCCTGGCCCATGGCTGGGCTCCAAGAGTAGTTAAACTCTTGAAACACTTCAAAGGTATAAAGGGTTGGAGAGAGGGGGTAAAGGAGGTTTTGTGGGTAAGGGGCTTGGACTTCCAGCAAGCGTGCGTGAGCGTGTTAGATAGGAGTGAATGGAGACGAATGGTACTTGGGACCTGACGATCTGTTGGAGTGTGAGCAGGGTAATATTTAGTGAAGGGATTCAGGGAAACCGGTTATTTTCATATAGTCGGACTTGAGTCCTGGAAATGGGAAGTACAATGCCTGCACTTTAAAGGAGGGGTTTGGGATATTGGCAGTTTGGAGGGATATGTTGTGTATCTTTATATGTGTATGCTTCTAGACTGTTGTATCCTGAGCACCTCTGCAAAAACAGTGATAATGTGCGAGTGTGGTGAAAGTGTTGAATGATGATGAAAGTATTTTTTTTTGGGGGGATTTTCTTTCTTTTTTGGGTCACCCTACCTCGGTGGGAGACGGCCGACTTGTTGGAAAAAAAAAAAAAAAAAAAAAATCCAGATGGCAACTATTGTGGTAAATCTTGGGAATTTTTTTTTTTTTTTACCTCTGTCAGAACTGTAGAGGACTTTTCACCACTGAACTCGGTGGACATCCAGGCTCTGTCGCAGAAAAAAATAGGCTTTCCTTATTTTTTTTTTTTCCAAATTGTTACCAATAATTTGCTCTAATACTCTTATACAACAAGAGCCAAAGTGACCTTGAATAAGAGGATGGAGGTAGGGATTTTAAAAATATTTTGTTAAATTCTATACTTTTTTTTTTTTTTTTTTTTTTTTCAACAAGTCGGCCGTCTCCCACCGAGGCAGGGTGACCCAAAAAAAAGAAAGAAAATCCCCAAAAAGAAAATACTTTCATCATCATTCAACACTTTCACCACACTCGCACATTATCACTGTTTTTGCAGAGGTGCTCAGAATACAACAGTCTAGAAGCATACACATATAAAGATACACAACATATCCCTCCAAACTGCCAATATCCCAAACCCCTCCTTTAAAGTGCAGGCATTGTATTTCCCATTTCCAGGACTCAAGTCCGACTATATGAAAATAACCGGTTTCCCTGAATCCCTTCACTAAATATTACCCTGCTCACACTCCAACAGATCGTCAGGTCCCAAGTACCATTCGTCTCCATTCACTCCTATCTAACACGCTCACGCACGCTTGCTGGAAGTCCAAGCCCCTTACCCACAAAACCTCCTTTACCCCCTCTCTCCAACCCTTTCGAGGATGACCCCTACCCCGCCTTCCTTCCCCTATAGATTTATATGCTTTCCATATCATTCTACTTTGATCCATTCTCTCTAAATGACCAAACCACCTCAACAACCCCTCCTCTGCCCTCTGACTAATACTTTTATTAACTCCACACCTTCTCCTAATTTCCACACTCCAAATTTTCTGCATAATATTTACACCACACATTGCCCTTAAACAGGACATCTCCACTGCCTCCAACCGTCTCCTCACTGCTGCATTTACCACCCAAGCTTCACACCCATATAAGAGTGTTGGTACCACTATACTTTCATACATACCCTTCTTTGCCTCCATAGATAACGTTTTTTGACTCCACATATACCTCAACGCACCACTCACCTTTTTTCCCTCATCAATTCTATGATTAACCTCATCCTTCATAAATCCATCCGCCGACACGTCAACTCCCAAGTATCTGAAAACATTCACTTCTTCCATAATCCTCCTCCCCAATTTGATATCTTGAAGAAATAAGATAGTTTATACAAGGCAGTGATGAATGTTATTAAAATATCTATAGATATGCAGTGCTTCAAGTTAATAAGTGTTGTCTTTTCAGTTTCGCAAGATGGATTCCATAGTGATGGTAGAGCGTCGTAATATTTTCCACAACTCTCTGGTGGATATACTGAGGGATCATCATGATCAGTTCCTTCAGGTAAATGTGACTTCTTTTTTTGTAAATTGTGAATAAATAGTTTAGAAATCCAAGTTGATAAATAAGACACTTGTACAACATTTGGGTATCTTTATTCTGGAAAAGTTTTGCCAGCCACTGGCTTCTTCAGTCCAGTGCAGAGAAAGGTGGAAGATGAGGAGTTTGAGGGACTGATGACCTCAAACTCCTCTTCATCTACCACCTTTCACTGCATTGAACTGAAGAAGCCACTGGCTGGCAGAACATTTCAATAATAAAGATACCCAAATGTTGCATAGGTGTTTCATATATCAACTTGTAAATTATCTACTTGAAGCTACAGGAGCAGTGTTCTATTTTTGTGGTGTCATGTCTTCTGTATTGTTCATCACACAGTTTTTTTAAATTTCCAATGGTTGTAATACTAACATTCTCTTGTAATTCATTCCATTGATCCACTGCCACTATTACTAAGGTGTATTGCATAAACTGTTTTGTAAATTATGTTCTGTTACTTTGCAGTTGCTGTAATTATCTTATTATTGTACATTGGCAAGATGTCTTAAGATTGCAGCATTTCTTTTGAGATTAAAAAAAATTGTATTGTACCCAGTCATTCTTTTCATTATTTTTTTTTCCCCATATTCTGCAGTCATTCCTAGTATGTCTCCACCACCTTGGGGTCTAGTGTCTTTCCATACCATTTTCAAAAGAACAACTTTCTATTAACAGTCCCTGGATCCTCCCATCATGAGTTCTGGCATGAACATAAAGAGATGGCACCCAGAATTTCCTTTGGAAGATGTGCCAGATATTGAGCCCTCTCTTCTGCCCCAACCACCAATCAGAGAGACACTGGAAACTGCCAGAGATGTTCTTGGTAAATATATGAGCTTTTAAAATAGTAAAAAAGAGATAAACAAACATAATTAAAGAAATGGCATTAGGGATCTTTATTGCATGGTTAATAAAGCAATACTAGTTTTGGCATTTCACATTTCCCAAAGAATTTAGTAAGTAAAGATATTTAAATTTGTTAGTGTTTTGAAGTTCACATTTCTTGTTTTGTTTAGATAAGGCACAGGACCTCTTTGCTGTCAATCATCGTATGGAGAAAGCGGTAAAAGAAGCTGCAGCAAAGACTCCTGTTAAAGTGGAATCTGCGATGCTACCAGCATCTTCGACACCGCCAGCCTACATATCTATAGCTCTGAAGGGTGTCTCAACTTCATTACTGGAGAAAGTAAGTTTCCTTCTGTATGTACAATGTATCACTTTTTTTTTTCTCATCTTTTCTACTTTTTTTGCCCTGGTTTAGAGTATGCTTCAGTAATAATATGCCAAGGGTACCAAATGGCACTAGACGAACATCATAGGCCAAAATGAATTTTGTACATAGCTGATAATTAAGTTGTGGTATAGTGTGGCCCCGCTTATATGGCAGGTTAGGTTCCAGGCTACTGTCATAAAGCAAATTGCCCTTTTTTTCTCTTAAATGCATATAAATGCCTGATAACATGTTTACACTATCATATATTAAGTTAGAAATAGAACATAACCACTGTCTTTGTAGAGCCTTCCAGATATGACAGTTTAGATGTCACCCCAAACAGCCAATATCCCAAACCCCTCCTTTAAAGTGCAGGCATTGTACTTCCCACCTCCAGGACTCTAGTCCAACTAACTGGTTTCCCTGCTCATACTCCAACAGCTCATCAGGCCCCAAAAACCATTAGTCTCCATTCACTCGTATCTAACACTTAGGCTTATTGTGTCTTCAATACTAGTGAGACACTTGTAGCTACTACTCCTTTGTAGCAATGCCATTTAGTTATTTTAATGTACTTGCAAGCCAGCACAGTGTGTGAGTTTTAGGTACAGGTACATGAAAGTACACTTATCAGTAGTATCTTAGCTATAGACATACCTTGCTCACTGAGTTTAATCATTTCTAACTTTGCACTTAAAGTAAGATACTTATGACTCCTATTTTTATCACAACTACCCTTAGATGTCATTGTAACACAAAGAGTGTATATAAAATACTCAATAACTTTAAAACACTTGAAACTTTGGAAAGTTTCCAGACATTTTTGAGAGAGACATGGAGCTCACAGAGGATGTAAACAGAGAGAGAGTGGCATGTTGATGCTGTAATAGTGAATCAGGAGCTGTATAACTGAAATTTTGTGTATAATTTTAATGTCCGTATTTGCAAAGCACCATAAAATGAAGCGCTGTAAAGCAGGGCCTGCCTGTATTCCCATGGTTTTTCTTGAATTTTGTGTACTGTTAATATTTTAATTTTCTGTACATGCACCCATAAAAGTGAGAGCTCACAGGATCAAGAGTTTTAGCGTACATACCCTTGTAGCAAACCTAAAATTAACTGCCATTCCTCAGGTCTAAATGATATATCACTTAGTAGTTAGCCTTTTCAATGAATATAATAGTATACATTAATACTTGTTTGTATTCTCAATTCTCAGAGAAGCAGCCACATGTCTTGGCAGAGACAATGACCCAGAAGCAGCACAAAATAAGGATTGGAGATTGCTCTTTAGTTTACTCAGATGTCAGATCATCCGTAACTCTTTTATACAGAAAGAAAGCCTCTATTTCCCTGGGAGGTTGTGACTGCAAAAGTCATGCTAAGCTCCAGATCTTCTATGCTTAGGCAGTTGTTAAAGAGAGATTATTTCTTAATGAGGTGCTGTAGAAAGATTAAAGTACAGATAAAGAGACCTTTTATTTATCGTTTAATTTATAGTAATAAAAGTCACAATACTTGACTAAAAATATTACTACATCACACATAGAGAAAGAAACTTAGATGACATTCAGTCTGACATGGGCCATAATAGACCACAATGTTAACAAATAACCCCACTAACAGAGAGAACTTACGAGGACGTTCGTCCGAGCTTGCCATTGACAAAGTGCACTAACCAGAAGTGGATGCGACGGCATATATTAGTTGAAAGGAGAGTTGTTGGATGGTTTAGCTAATGTACAAGAATGGCTATAATCTGCAATAAATATAATTACTGTAAGTTTCTACAGGGTTTTAAGAGTAAAGCTACACCATGTTTTGTGATAGTCTTCTTTAACTTATATTAAACAGTAAACTTAGTCTATCCATATTTGAGTAATTATGGGACTTTTATTGTTCTTTTTTTTTGAGCTACTATTCACTCATTTATTATATTTAATAATTCAGATGATAATAAAGTCCCATACTATGTTTTTTGCCTACTAAGTTGATTAGGAGGGACAAAAGGTTTAATGTACAGGCTCCGGATTTTCCAAATGCATTGGCGTTTGAAACAGAGAGGAGATCTGTGTTTGAATGGAAGTGGGGTGTGTAGAGAAAGATTTTGAACATTACTTGTATTAATTAGAGGCACTAACAATTTTTGTTTCTGGTTATTGAGGAGTTACTAGTGTTGCACCTAGTTTGTTACTATTTCTCTGTTAAAAAATATTTATATAAGCCTAATAATAAAAGAAAGACAGCAGAGTGATGATGGAGTTTGACATTCCAGTTTAAGACCAGAATAGTACAAATTAACATTCTTTCCCACAGGATTGAACTTTGTTTGGAAGGGCCTTAAGAAGTTGTATTCACATAGGTGCACGAAGAAATGTTTGGTCTTGCATTAATCATTATTAATAAGGCAGATCTAGTCCCTGTGTCCGGATTTTCCTTCACCCTGCAAGTAGAACTTGCTCAATCCTGGGCAGAGAATGAAAGATTAATTAAGCACAATTCCTTACATGTTTCCCATATTCACCTAACGGTAAATAGGCACCGGTGACAGTTCTGTCTTTGAGAAGTAGTAAAATGTACTCCGAGCAATACAATAGTCTACTTGCTGCGGAGACGTATGTATCCCTATTTTTTGAAACTAATACACTATAAATTTAATTTATGGCAAAACTATGCAGAATTAGCTTTTCATTATTGATCTTTTATCCACATTAGGTGTATTATCAGTACTTTGAAGCTTTCTTTCAACACACTGGCTGTATCCCACCGAGGCGGGGTGGCCCAAAAGGAAAAACGAAAGTTTCTCCTTTTACATTTAGTAATATATACAGGAGAAGAGGTTACTAGCCCCTTGCTCCAGGCATTTTAGTCGCCTCCTACAACACGCATGGCTTACGGAGGAAGAATTCTGTTCCACTTCCCCATGGAGGTAAGAGAAAATAAACAAGAACAAGAACTAGTAAGAAAATAGAAGAAAACCCAGAGGGGTGTGTATATATATGCTTGTACATGTATGTGTAGTGTGACCTAAGTGTAAGTAGAAGTAGCAAGACGTACCTGAAACCTTGCATGTTTGAGACAAAAATGGACACCAGCAATCCTACCATCATGTAAAACAATTACAGGCTTTCGTTTTACACTCACTTGGCAGGACGGTAGTACCGCCCTGGGCAGTTGCTATCTACCAACCTACTACCTAGAACTTGAACTTTTATGTTGGTGAAATATCTTAGTGCTAGTAAAGGCCTTTTGCTTTGTCATTTTACCACTTATTGGCTGTGCCATACTTAACATTTATATATGCTCAAAAAACTTCTAATTTTTTTCCTGTATCCCTCTTCCCATTCTCTTTTTATACCCCTAAAGTAACTTTTTGTTAATGCTTTCAGGTGAGGTGGACAGTCACATACATCTGCTGATAAAGGAGGTTCCTGGGTGGTGTACAGTGCACAAAGTACGCAGCGGCATCTTTTTGAAGATCGATAAGACGAGCAGCTGAGCAATGTAATTGACAAGCTAGAGTCAATTGTCAACAGCGCAAGTGAGCGATGTAAGACAAACTGTGAATTGTCATACTGCAAGTGATTCCTTCTTGAGAATTGACGAGATGTTTTGAATATGTTTTACCCATAATTATATACATTGTTTACAGTAGGTTGAAATGTTATGTGAATGCTTTTATATTATGATTCTTTAAAGCACTGCCTTCATATTATTAATCATTAGTAGTGTGTTTTGTGATTCAATTTATGCTGTAAACAATATGGATCAAGTACAGTACTTCATTGTACTAAAGATTTTCTTAATGCTTTTAATAATTTCAAACACTCCTTTTTTATTTTTTTTAATTGTTTCTTCATTTAACTTCAGTGGTATAATTTAATTTATAAATTATTAAACTGCAGATTAATTGCCTGGTTTAGCATATTGATGGGATGGAGGAAAGGTACACAGAAATTAAACTGTGCCTTTTATCAGGTGGTATTAGTCAGTGAATGCCATTGTTGAGTACTGTGTAATCTCTATGTACAAAGTGATTATAAGTGTGTTAATTACTGTATCTTAGAAATCTGAACCTAGAAAATAATTTGCATTTTTTGTGACAGACATTTTCTGACAGTGCTGTATATTGCTGAAAGACAAGTAACAAATAGGATATTTAAGCAGTGTAGTTTTTATTGTGAAATTAAGGTTAATATAATTTTTGAATGGTGCATATTTGTGACTAAACTCCAATCTGCAAATCGAACATAAACATCCAAGAACAAAAGTTTATTTTGTAACCAGTTGACATTGACATTCTTTCTGACCAGTGTTGGCGACATGAATAGATTTGGTGAATGCCATTATTGTTTTATTTTAATTGGCTCATATTTCCAGTAGGAAGAAGATATCAGATGTTGATTTAATTTTAACTTTATCAAAAACATGTACTGTACATAGTGCCTTGTGAATTTTTTAAGTCTTATAATGGAATTGTGACTGTCCAGGACACACACGTGCCAAGTGGCAGCTGAGTGCTCATAATTCATAATCCATCTTTTTGTAAATATTTCTAAGTAATTTTTTTACTTTGTTGCTGAAGTTAGTGTGCCATCAGTTTGTGGAATACTTTAAAAGGTGTACTATAATTTAGGCTCTTACTAGTGTTGACATTCAAAGTGCACTTGTGTGTGTGTATATATAGGCTATGTGCATTCATTTTTCTATGACTTAATTGTATAAATTTGATACTTAAAAATTATGAACAAAGTTAATGAGTTTTCTTTACCATTGGCTGTAAAATGCTTACATGTCTAAAATAAATTTTACTACATGGATACAACACTAATTGTAACTAGAAGACCACTAATTATATTATGATTATATTTAGTCCTTGAAATAAGCATGAATCAGTTAATTAATCTTACCTTGGCTTGATACCCTCCCTTATAAAGCTTGGACAGTCTTGATTTTTCATTTTAATCATAGGGAAGGCATTCAAGTTCATAAGAATAGGGTGGTTAATTACCAGCTCCTGGGATCAAGAGCTCCTCAGGAGCATCAAGGAGATTCCTTTGAGAGGAGTCATACTGTTTTAAGTACTAAACCTACAAGGGGGAGCAATAATAATGTACAGGTACTCCTCATTAAACAACCTACTTGTTTAATAACTGCTTGGACTTGAGACCAGCTCTCCGACCAGTTGGTATTGTATGCTATACGAGAATTTTGGTCGTGGAAACGGAAGCGCGGCGGTGTTATGAGTCGAGCATTAGTCTCGGTCTCACTTTTGCAGTCGTCTGCTCTCTACACTCCCCTCAAGGAAGGTTCCTTGATGTTGGTGAGGGGCTCTTGGTCTAGGTAATTGGATCTGTGCTCCAGTTCCCCGAATTAAGCCTGAATACCTTCCACATCCCCCCCCCCACACAGGCGCAGTATAATCCTATGGGTTTAGCGCTTCCCCCTTTATTATAATAATAATGCTCTCTACACTAGCATTCTCAATCTCCAAGACTACATATTTCATCTATAATGCCTAGTTCTATTTTTAATGTACTAAAGATGTTATAAATGGTGCAAAGGTGACATTAAAACATCTAAAAATGGTTGACAATTTGCTTACTGACCTCTTAGGAACAGAACAAGGTTGTTAAGCGAGTAGTATCTGTATTCCCTCCCTCTCGGCTGACTTAGTTTTCCAGTCTACTATTAGAATTATCTGACTTGGTTAAAGCACTTTTTGTGGCATTTGGAAGGGTATGTAAAAGAAGGAAATTAAAAATGAATGTAGGAAAGAGCAAGGTGATAAGGGTAAAAAATTTAGGAAATGAAAGATTGGAGGGAGGGACCATGGAGGAAGTTGAATGTATTCAAATATTTGGGAGTGGACTTGGCAATAGATAGGTCTATGAAAGATGAGGTGAATCATAGAATTGAGGGATAAAAGGTGAGTGGTACACTGAGGAGTCTGGAGACAAAGAACATTATCCATGGAAGCAAAGAGGGGAATATATGAGAGTATAGTGGTACCAATGCTCTTATGTGGGTGTGATGTATAGGTGGTGAACGTTGCAACAAGAAGGCTGGTGGCAATGTGCGGTGCGAATATAATGCAGAGAATCCGTAGCTTGGAAATTAGGAGGTGTGGAATTGCTAAAAGTATTATCTAGAGGATAGAGGAAGGGTTGTTGAGGTGGTTTCGACATTCAGAGAGGATGGAACGAAACAGAATGACTTAAAGGGCATATAAACCTGTAGTAGAAGGAATGCATGGTAGGGGTCATTCTAGTTTGAAAGGGTGGAGAGGGGTTAAAAGAGGTTTTGCATGCAAGGGCCCCTCAAAGGAGGTTCCTTGATGCTTGTGAGGGGGCTCTTGATCTAGGGAATTGGATCTGTGCTCCAGTTCCCTGAATTGAGTCTGAATAACTTCCATCCCCCCACAGGTGCTATATAATCCTATGGGTTTAGTGCTCCCCCATGATAATAATACGTGCAAGGGGCTTGGACTTCTAACATGCTCATACACGCTTGCTGGAAGTCCAAGCCCCTCACCCACAAAACCTCCTTTACCCCATCCCTCCAACCTTTACGGGGACGACCCCTACCCCGCCTTCCTTCCCCTACAGATTTATACGCTCTCCAAGTCATTCTACTTTGTCCCATTCTCTCTAAATGACCAAACCACCTCAACAACCCCTCTTCAGCCCTCTGACTAATACTTTTACTAACCCTACACCTCCAAATTTCCACACTACGAATTCCTGCATAATATTTACACCACACATTGCCCTTAGACATGACATCTCAACTGCAGCTGCCTCCTTGCTGCACCATTTACAATCCATGCTTCACATCTATATAAGAACGTTGGTACCACTATACTCTCGTACATTCCCTTCTTTGCCTCCATGGATAATGTTTTTTTTTGTCTCCACAGATACCCTAGTGCACCACTCACCTTTTCTCTTTCATCAATTCTGTGGTTTACTTTATCCTTCATAAACCCATCCACCAAGTCAATTCCCAAATATTTGAACACATTCACTTCTTCCATACTCTCTCCCTCCAATGTGATATCCAATGTTTCCTTAAATAAATCGTTTCATACCTTCACCTTACTCCTGTTTATATTCACTTTCAACTTTCTTCCTTTACACATACTCCTAACTCGTCAACTACCCTTGGCAACTTCAGAATCTCTCACAAGCACAGTATCACCAGCAAAAAATAACTGTTAATTCCCATTTTGTATTTGAATCTGCATAATTTAATCCCAACCCTCTCCCTGACATCCTAGCATTTACTTCTTTTACAACCCCATCTATAAATATGTTAAACAACCCTAGTGACATTTCACAACCCTGTCTAAGGCTACTTTTACTGGGAAGTAATCTCCTCTCCTACACACCCTAACCTGAGCCTCACTATCCTCATAAAAACTCTTTACAGCATTTAATAACTTACCACCTATTCCATACACTCGCAACATCTGGCACATTACTCCCCTATCCACCCTATCATAAGCCTTTCCTAAATTCATAAATGCAATGAAAACTTCCCTACATTTATCTAATTATTGTTCACTTATATGCTTCAATGTAAACACTTGGTCTACACATCCCCTACCCATTCTAAAGCCTCCTTGCTCATCTGCAATCCTGTTCTCTGTCTAACTTCTAATTCTTTCAGTAATAACCCTACCATACACTTATACTCAGTAGGCTTATTCCCGTATAATTTTTACCCTCTCTTTCGTCCCCCTTCCTTTTATATAAAGGAACTATGCATGCTCTCTGCCTGTCCCTAGGTACCTTCCCATCTTTCATACATTTATTGAACAAAAGTACCAACCACACACACGCACACACACACGGGGGGCCTCGCTTATACAGCAGGTTAGGTTCTGGGCTACTGCTGTAAGGCAAAAAATCACTGTAAAGTGAAACATGGCTTTTCTTTTTCACTTTCAAATGCATGCAAAAGCCTGATAACATGTTTACACTATCATATAACAGAAAGTCCGAATAAATACAGAATGGGTATAATTGAAAACTGCTGCTGACGGAATATGAACCGGTGGTGGAGACAGTAGAGCATCGGACTGTCAATTTACAGACTGCGGTTCATATCCCTGTATATATCCCCTGTATACATACATTATATATATATATATATATAATATATATATTATATATAATATATATATATATATATATATATATATATATATATATATATATATATATATATATAAGTACAATGCCTGCACTTTAAAGGAGGGGTTTGGGATATTGGCAGTTTGGAGGGATATGTTGTGTATCTTTATATGTGTATGCTTCTAGACTGTTGTATTCTGAGCACCTCTGCAAAAACAGTGATAATGTGCGAGTGTGGTGAAAGTGTTGAATGATGATGAAAGTATTTTCTTTTTGGGGATTTTCTTTCTTTTTTGGGTCACCCTGCCTCGGTGGGAGACGGCCGACTTGTTGAAAAAAAAAAAAAAAAAAAAAAAAAAAAAATATATATATATATATATATATATATATATATATATATATATATATATATATATATATATATATATATATATATATATATATATATGCAAAACAACCACTCTGAAAGAATAGAGAAATTCCAAGCGCTTTCGTGACTACTCACAAATCATAGTTCCTTGATAATGTGAGTAGTCACGAAAGCGCTGGAATTTCTCTATTCTTTCAGAGTGGTTGTTTTGCATATTCTGAAATCACCTGTTTACTGTGATCTTATTGCATAATATATTATATATATATATATATATATATTATATATATATATATATATATATATATATATATATATATATATATATATATATATATTATATATATATGGGTTCCAGACTCATCGACACCACCAGGGACCCAAGGGCAGCCACTTTCATGTTCCAGCGCCTCAGCGTCGCCATCCAGAGGGGAAATGCTTGCTGCATACTTGGTTCACGTCCAGCCTCGGACGAGCTGGAGGAAATTCATCATCTTTGATACATTGTGCCATTGTATTCATGTTTACGTTTTTTTTCTGTAAATGTATTTTGTTTATTAATAAATGTTCACATAGAATATAAATATAGGGGGTGGTAGGAGAAGAAAATATTCAAACAGCTCCGGGGAGAACCTTGAGTTTTCCCTGAGGTACGTTTATTGTCTTCTCTGAGGATGAGGGTCCCCATTCCAGCTATAGAGGTGGTACTTCCCTATATATTTTATATATATGTATGTATGTATGACAAATTTTATCATTGGTGCTCTGTGAATATAACTGCGTCTGTTTTTTCCTTAGGATATTTCTGGACAAAGGTTGAACAAAATATGTCTCAAAACAGAAACACTGAAGTTTCAGTGTTTGGAAGAGTTTGTCACTTGAAGCAGCTCTCAAGAGTGAGTTGCAGCTCTGGGCGGCTTCTCAAGTACCAATAACTTTGACTTCAAGACTTCATAAAGACACTTCATTATCACCCCCCTCCCTCCAACTTCCCCTCCAACTTCCCCTCCCAACTTCCCCTCCCAACTTCCCCTCCCAACTTCCCCTCCCAACTTCCCCTCCCAACTTCCCTTCTTCTTATTCCTCCGTCTAACTAGAAAGAAGCTTAATTAACGTGGACTAGTTAAAAAAACTCTTCGAGAAAGAAATTAGGAGCTTAGACACCCAGCAGGCTTGTGTGTGCATGTTAGTTCTGAGTGAGTGGAGACAAGTGGCATTTATGAGTTGACGTGCTGTTGGAGTGTT